GAGGGTGAAGACCAGTTCCCAGGCCAGGGCCAGGGGGATGGCTGGCTCAGTGCGAGGGAAATGAGGCATAGGGATTTTTTCCCCCTGTCTTGCTGGCTCTCATCCAGACCCAGAGTGGGAGGGCCAAGTGGTTTTGGGGAGTGGGAATTGGATGCAGAGCCTTTTCTCCTCCCTGTAGAGTGTCTACTCCAGGGAATAATTAGTGATTTTGCAAGGGGGGGGGGATGGGTGTGTTGTGCCATGCCAGGACCCCCTGCACATTGCCTTGTGGAGGCTGAGGGCAGAGCTGGCTCCCTGCGTGCTGCCTACTGTGACTGCTGGAGTGTGGGCTCCTCAGAGGGCACCATTCTGGCACCCCCTCCAAACTGGTACCAGTGGCTGGTGCCCCCTCGCCCTGCCCTAGTTATATTGTTGGGCTGTTTCCAAGGGAGGAGAAAATCATGGGATACAGGCCTTTCTCCTCCAGGGCCTGTAGCTGTGTGTAGCAGAACAGGTAGTCACAAACACCACTGCACCACATGCATCAAGCTCCAGCCTACTTCAAAGGGAAGCATCTTGTTCAGGAAGCCAAGAGACAGAAGAGGAGGAAGGAAACCGCATCCGTTGCTTGGCCAATGGCTGTGCCCCGGCCGCAAGGCACCACCTGTCATATCTATGGACAAACTTGCAGAGCACAGATTGGACTCCTCAGCCATCTTAAAACTCACCAGTACCGTCCCAATCATCCTCTTATCGAGGGACAGCCCACGACTAATGGTTAAGCTGCCACTCCTGTCTTCCCAAGGCCTCCCCAGCTCCCCTTTCCAGTACGGCCATTCCCGCCTTCACGTAGCCCCGGGCAGTAGACCCAAGCCCTGCTCTCCAGGCCCGGCTCGGCCAAGCTAAGAAATGCCACGTGCCTGTGCTGCAAGCCGCCTATCCTTCCTCGGGGGCCAAGATCAGCCGCTGCTCAGATGCAGCCGCAGGCAGCTCCCCCGCCCCGCGCTGCAGCCCACGGCCCGGCCTGCCCGGGGGCTGGGCACCGCGGCTCACCTGCATGGCGCAGGGCAGAGCCAAGGGGGACCCGGCTCCCCAGCTGCGCTGCGAGGAGGAAGGCGACTCAGGAGCAGGGACACGCCCAGCGGCGCGCCCCGGCCGCGGACTTCAGCCGGGTCCAAACTGCGCAGGGGCGGGGCGTGTCCTCACGCGCACGTGGCCGGCTCAGGGCAGAGCAGGCGCGGGCCTGGGTCACGTGACTCCCCAGGAACCCGCGCCAGAGGCCGCTTCGTCAGCGGCCCCGCCCTTCCCTTCCCCCGCGCCTGCGCCTGCATCATCGTGCGCCTGCGCGCTCGGGCGCTCCCCCCGCGCGGGC